AAATAGTTTAAATCAAATAAAACCTATTCCATGTTTTTTTCGATGAACACAATGTCCACTTGTATTGTACATTTCCAATTGCTTGAAACCTTGTATGTAGCAAGGAAAGGATGTCTTCTACACTATCATTGACCTGACTTCCATAGTAATGACATCAAGAGATGACAAGAGAAATAGCTTTGTGGGTACACCATGGAATAAATCTCTTTTGGGCGTGGTGTGGTTCTTAAAAGAACCGGTGATTGTTAACATTTCGGCCAGTGTGCTCAGGCCATCCTCAGGAGAGTGTGATCATCAAAATCTTACTTAGGAGAAGACAAATAACCTGACTTTTAAAGGTGCACTCTAAAAGCACTATATCTTGTGAAGTACATGTCCAATTGGGTTCAACCTCGCAGATACATATCTTAACCACTTCATGCTAGGGCATTTTTCAATGTTGATGATGCTGGGCCGGCATGACTATCATTTTTTTCCGTTTTCAAAATCCTTCAAAAATTCATCATTTCATTTAACGGTCGTTTATAGCTGCACCAAGTAATCTTTAGGCACTACTCTAAGTTGACAGGTGACCATCACTGACGCTCGAGTATTTCAGCCAGGCCAGCAGCATTGTGAAAAGAGGCCAGATTGTGCAGTGTTATATAACTTTCTTTTGTTCACGAACCTGGCTCAGTGCACTGCTGACCTCTTTTCAATAGGGGCCAGATTAGCGTGCAGGGTTGCTGTGTGGCTCATTCCTGCGGTGGTGGCGCGCTTTTGTCCCCGGTGGTAATCCACTCGCTCTCAATGCCCCAAACCCTGGTATACAGTTTCAAAATGGGGCTGGATTATCACCACTTTTGAGAGTGAAAAATGTCGGTAATGCCCAGCAGCCTGGTCTTTTGTTCAGAGTACAGTCTTTTGTCACAGGGCCCTGTTTCCTTTGTCTGAGTTCGGAGACCCCGGCCACGTATATAAACCATACTTCTCCGATTCTGGAGTCCTCGGCAGGAAGTGGTTAAAAAGAGAATGCTTCAGATAAAACCTGACCTGATGTAATGATGACCTCATCAAGGGGTAAATCACTTGATATTGTGGTATTTTATTCCCATGAGCCAGCCTAGGTCTTGCCAGTCTGGGTGAACTGTTTCCAATGGTGGGAAAGTCACCTGACCTAAACCTAAACTATCTGCCTTGGCCCTTGAGTTTGACGAGCAATCTAAGGTCCGGGGGTTAAGGGTCATTTTGGCGGAAATATACCACTGATTGGTAATTGATTTGGTGACCCAGTCGACTGACACAACAATGAGCATGTGCCGAAACAAGATATTACCGGCACGATCAATAGGACTTATTTAATATACTTTTTTTTATCTAGCTTATATAATCACTATATTACAAAATTGGAGTTACTTATTTTATACAAGAGTTACAAAAGAATAATACAAAATACAACTACAAAAGAACACTTAAATAATCCACACTCCGCAATCCGCACTCCTCACCAGGGTGACTTCACCCAAGATATCGGCGGATTGCCAGTGCCAAATTACTAACCCAACTAATGAGTAACTCAGGACGCCTGCCGACAATATAGTTGTCCAGTCTTTCACCGCTTTTCTAGATGGTGACCTTGGGACAACCTTCGACAACTCTCCTCACAACTCTACCCACACAGTATTGTTCTACCCACGGTCCTTTCTGACCGATACTAAGAACAGTACACAATGAATCAACTACTGCAGATACGTTACAGTTACTTACTAACTGCTTAGATTGGGGAACCAGTACTTGAATTTCTCTCAGACTCCCAGCGGTAGCACACACAAAAGGAGCGGTCACACACAGCGCTGTTCACTCACGGAACCAGGCCTCCAGACTGCCTCGAGACTTCTGCGAGACTGCCTACACTGCGCGGCGGCATGGCACTAACTAGACAAAACATAAACTTGCGCCAGTCCTACGCCATTTACATGGGAAATTATGAACAGATTAATGCTAATGTACACTGGTACCAATACAGTGGTCTCGCGCATTCTCTACACAAAGATAAGAATGATGTCATCTTTCATCTGAAACCTAAACTCGTTAAAGCCATTTCATCACAATATTAAAGGTGACTCTTCAACACACTATATCTCGTGAGGTACATGTGCGATTGGATTCCAAAGCTGCTGATATCTTGAAAGGCGAGGGCTTTAGATGATTATTGACCTGTTGGCACATGACATTAAATATGCACTCTTTAAAGCACTCTATCTCTGGAAGTACATGTCCAAATCAACTGAAACCTTGCAGATATCTTGCAAGGGAAGTGATTCAGGTGAATATTGACCTAATATGATAATGAGGTAATCAGATGACAATTCACGTGACATTAAAGAGCACAATGTTACCTGAAGTACATCTGATTGAGTTCAAACTTTGCTGATATCTTGAAAGGGAAGAGACTTAGGCGAATATTGACCTCATGTGAAGATGACATCATCAAGAGAGAAATCAAGACACATTCTTTAGAACCTAATATCTTGTGATGTACATATCCGATTGGGTTTAAATTTGGTAGGTAGCGAGAAATGGAAGTAGTACAGATGAAGTGAAGTTATAAAAAGGTGCAATCTTTATTCCCCATATCTTTTAGTGTCCGGAAGGGTTTGCACATTTCGTCATTATGATGTCAACAAAGAAAATACTAGAATTGTTTTTGTAAATATTTGTAGCTCTGGGGTAGATTTTTAAGCAAAAGTAAGAAATGGAAATTTGGTAGTATCTCAAATGAACAAATGCTTTTGTCTGAAGAACAAAAATGCAAAAAAGCCTTTTACTCTGTCCTTAAGACAGACAAAACCTCTAGTTTCTTTTCCTTTCTCAGACTGTTTCCCCATAGGGTTTGTACACATTTTCTTCCACTAGTCAATTTTCGTAGTTTTATATATTTGATTGACTTCAAATGTGACGTGGCAGACCTTCAGAAAATCATCCAAGGATGATCCTAGAAGAAATTTGTCATGATGAAATCATCAAATGATTTATTATTAAATTTTGAATATTTAATTTTTCCCGACAGGTTCTGTACACACTTTTTTAACAACCAGACTTCCACACTGTTCTCGACCTGTCTCGATGGATGTTAGGTCAAGATTCTTAGCCCAACAATTAGAGAGGGTTTAGGACATGAGATTAAAGTTGAAGTTTTCTCTATAGGTTTTGTACACATTTTACTAAGCAATATTATCAATCTTAGTCTTGAACTTTGGCTGAGAATTACTATGAGAACGAAAGAAAAATCATATTTTTTCTTCTCTTCAATTGATTACAAATATACCTAGGATATCATAATTTCTTTCTCAATATAAACGCAAATCATGTGATATGACTTTAAAGTGTGTAGTTTTTCTCCAAAGATTTTGTGCACATTTTCTGCAGTCGAAGACTGGTGCACTCATGCATCTGAGTGTTTTTGTACTGGGAGAATAAGTACTCCATCAACCCGTGGGGCTGTCATAATGAAATCGTCACAGTGACGTCATCAGGAGTCACAGGACAAGAGATTAAAGTTGCAGTTTTCTCAATAGGTTTTTACAAGTTTTTTCACTTCGCACTTTTATCAATCTTACCAGTGGTTCACCTGGGGTTTACTCTGAGAATATCAGACAAATCAGAATTTCAACAAATTGATGTGATCTGTTTTTCCAAGATGATAAAGATGAAAAATGAAAATTCTGAAACAGCTCTGTGGTTGTTCACAACCACGTCCCTCTAGTTGTATTTGCTTTCACAAATTCCTTGCTGACTTGTTTGTCTCCGTCTATGAAGATCAATACATCATGCACTTTTGTAATTTGAAGTCAGGAAAAAATAACTGAGGTTACGAAGGTACCAGCTGGAAAAAAATATAAAAATGGTGTATAGGAGTAATCCAAAAATTATAAAATTTGATACAAATCAGACTTATCAGTTAATAACATGATCACAATGCCACTACAGGATGCACATCCATATGGAAAAAAATTGTTAGTCAATGCACTTCACAATTAGTATTTATTGATTAGGGATATGAAAAGTCACCAAATGTTTTATTCCTTTAATGTTATAAAATTTCAGTTCTATCAAAAATAAGTATTGCAGTTGAGTCTTTGACTAGTTGTTTCACAAGACTAGTCATAGATAACAGGATGAGCAATGTCAAAGGAAGGGAAGGGGTGTGAGGTGGACTTGGTCACAACCAAAGATCACATACATGTACATGTAGTGCTACAAGATTGAGAACTTCACCATGAATGTGCATAAAATGTTGTAATTCACCTGGATGCCATTTGAGCAAGCAAAGTTTTGACAACGGGAGCAATGACATCCGTCCCTTTGTAGGGCTTAAAAATAACAAAGTGGCTTAATCTTGCTTAGTTTGTTCATGAAACTGGTGGAATAAAGGTTCATTATTAACAGTATTTACTGTAAAACAGTAAACTCCTACCAGTGGGAGTCAATCAGCAACAGTGACAGTAAAAATTGTTATTTCAAATGTTGCAACCTGGCAAGTCCATTCCAATCATCTTCCATTATACATATTTTCATCAGAACAAAAAATTTCGAGGGAGGTGGCCACCAGTGGGTAATTTTCATAAAGAAAAAATGTTTGAAGGCTCACCTATTCTCTACTGATACTGATAAGTGATGTGCATCACTACTTCAATCTCTTTAAATCAACTGTGATTTCTTTCAAACAAATGAATACAGCACTCAACAAGAACATGATGTAATCAAAATGCAAAATTTTATCCTCATATACATATAATGGCAGAACAAAATGGTTAACTTTGAAGGACAGTGACAGAGATGACATTCTTGCTGACATACCCTGGTGTACATGTCTTTGCCTGTGCGTTAATTTGTACTGCGCAAGTGTACTGCTTACTTTAGCACCCATGGTGATTACCCCTTTTTGTCAAAGTTCCCCATCTTGCGCCACTACCTGGTTCTATATGATCTTTGACCACAACTCTATTTAAAGCACATACCTGTGTGTGGCAGCACTGTCCGCTGATACACTTCCATCAAACCTAGGTGGCATTAGAGCATAGGAGGGGAAAAGATAATGGATGTGGTTGATGATCAGGAACTTCACAATTAGCTCATATGCAAGCAAACGCCCTTCTCTCCATTCCCAAGCTTGGCAGAAATGTTTGTCCAGAATATCATCTGAAAATAAGAGTAGCAAAATCTTTGGTTTTAACATGAAATAATTACATTCTAAGAGAACATCCTCTGTGACATTACATTAAATGTAACTAAGACACTACCACATTGAAAACACCTAATCCCTGAGAGCATTCTAGTTGAAAAGATGTAGTGGGACTTGATAATAATGAGGGGGGATGTTGTGAAACATTTTGTTTCAAACAAGAAGTTTGCTTTACAAAGAGGGCATCACAGACAAGAAAGGACGATTTTAGCAAAATTGGTCCACTCCAGAATTTCTTCGCAACTCCTTCTATTCATCGATAATGTCCCGGAACTGTTTTTTACTCATTCTTTGGTATCTTCATTTGTCAAACAATGAAACCCCCCACCCCGGCAACGTCAACCGGTCCAAAATCAGCAAACTCCAGCCATTTTTGGACTTGGTCCTTCCTTGATTTTCCTCGGTGTATGAACCTAATCAGAATCTTTCCTCAGATGAAAGTATGCTGAAATTCAAAGGCAGACTCAGCTTGGTCCAGCTAGTAAATACCAAAAAAGCCTGTGAAGTGGGGAATGAAGGTATTCTCTCTCAATAAATCTTCAACAGGATACACAGGTAAATGGAAACTGTTTGCAGGACGTAAGGATCACCCAGCACCTGCAGACCAATCCGCCAATCCTCAGCTAGAACAACCCCCAACCATAAATGTCAGTGGACACGTCATCCTTGACTTGTTGGAAAGATTCAAACACAAAGGCTACAACATATATTGTGACAATTTTTATACGAGTTCAGCACTATATGCGAAACTAACAGAGTGTGGATTGGGATGTTTTGGTACAGTGAAGTACTCACCGAAAGGAATGCTGAAAGAAGCCAACCCCCCCCCCAAAAAGGAATGAAGAAAGGAGACCCACCTGCCTTTTATGTCAAGAATGGACAATGGTGCATTGTCTGGCATGATAAGAGGCAGGTATCTGTTCTGATGACTATTGGGGACTGCACCATTGTGAACAAATGTGTTCAATCGGGTGAACACAATGGTGGCTTCAGGAAAGTCACCAAGCCAAAGGCCATTGATGACTAAAATGAAAACACGGGAGGTAGAGATCTTGCTGATCAGTTTTCCAGTGTTACAATCATACCCAATGCAGCATCAAATGGTGGAAATGTGTGTTTTTCCACGTACTGGAGGTATGCCTGGTCAATGCTTTTGTTGCCTACAACAGCCTGCCGGAAACCCATCCTTGACCACACCCAAGTTCCAGCAAGCTGTTATTGAAGGTTTACTTCTCGGATGGGAATGTGATTCATCTCATTGAGGAATTAGAGCTTCCCGTGTTGATTCTCCTGCAAGACTGACTGAAAGAGGTCACTTTCCCTCCAAAGTAGAAAATGGAAGAAAACCAGACTGTGTAGTATAGGACTGTGTGGTATAGTCAGTGTTGTTACCAACTTTATTCGAAAGAACGACCGAGAAGGTTGTGATAGAATTTTAAGCTAACTGTTGACTGAATTGGAGAATGAAAGGCAGACTACTATACTAACACTGAATACTGAATACTGATGCAGGACTTACAGTTAGAAACAGGATGTAGTTAAAATCACAAGAAAGGAAAGTCTTAGTCACATGTCTTAGCTGGATTCCTTGAACAATGACTGTAAATGAATAATTTTATCTTAAAACAAAGTCCTTGACGGATGATAGTGCAAGCTTAAATGAAGCATGCTGAAGTGTGCCTAGCCTCTGAGCTAACAAGGTCAAATAGGCAGAAACAACATACACTGTACAAGACACTGTGTGGGTGTACTCTTACCAGGAAAATGCAGTGAGTAATGTGTGTAAGAAATGGCAAACAAGATATATACAGAAAATGTAAAAGTTGTCAAAGTTAGAAATGAAGATTCTGAATGCCAAATTCACTAAAAGAAATTAATGCAAGTAATTCAAGTAATTGTGCGGACAACGCTACAGTAGTTTGTAGCGATAGATCAGAACCAGATGGACGGAAACAGACCTTAAAATTTTGACACAGATGTGACAAGGCAATGTGCGCAGTTCCTTGTTTTGAAAGATATCACTCGTAACTACATTATAAGGATGATAGGTTGGATAAATAGAATCCTCAAAAACATGCTCATCAGATTCCAGTTATCTCTTCAATATTTGCCCAATTTATCAATAGCGTTGACTTTTTCATGCACGTAGTGGAAACGTTACTGTGTGAATGACAGATTTCCGAATATGGAATGTTTGCTTTGCAAAAGAATAGACTGATTGAAGAACACAATAAGCATAAATAGTCCCGGACACTCAAGATTCCCAATGAATGGCAAAGGTGTAACTTACGAGTACATGTAGGTTGGATAAAGGAATCTTTAAACACACATGTTCAAAAGATGCTAGTTGTAGTTTGAATATTGGCCATGACTCAATATATTTTGTAACTTCTTTTTTTTTCCATGACAGATTACTGAATGTGTTTTTATATGACTATGCATGTAGGTTGGATAATATGATCTTCAAAAATACATACTCAAAAGAGTCCAGTTGTAGTTTGAATGTTTGCCATGACTTGAAATATCAAAAGCCGTGCCTTTTTTATGCAAATGCGGGAATGACAAATTACACATTGTAATGATATCCAACAAAGGTTGAATTTTATGAACATCAAGCCTTGAGGAATTTCATACACTGCATTCTTGTATGCCACGATTTACTTCAGTTATCGTTCCTTTTTGTCAGTATAAAATTTTCTTTAAAATTTGACTGCTAGTTCTCTACATATATTATTTACATTCCAGTCTGAACTTGCAAAATAAAGTTGCCTAATGATAAAAGCCAACAGTTTATGATGTAAAGAGAACTACTAGACTATATATAACCCCAACCACCACTACCACAGTGGCTTTGTACTGTACATGTAAACATGCATAGCGGTACATGGGGGCATCAAAGGTCATTTCATGTAGTTGGAAAATAGGAGACCCCTTTGGACATTTCTTGATGTAACTGGCTTATTCTCACACAAAACCCTATGATTTTGGTATCAATAAAAGCTTATTTTATTGACAAGAAATGTCTCACACAAACCTTTTTTATTCAATGAAGCCTTCATGATGAAATTTGGGTTTGGAATTTGACCACCATGTAAATAAAAGTTATGAAACTACAAGCTCAAAGAATTTCTTATGCAAACTTAGAGAAATCCTTATGCAAAATACTTGTCGTGGGGCAATGTGCACAAACCTTGGTATCACTGGAAAGTAAATTTTATAAGGAATAAGTCGCATGCACAACTTTGTTTGATAAAACGAAGTCTTCAGTGACAAAAACAAGATTGAAAATAGAGGCATTGAATGGCCCCATTCCATAGAAAACAATTTGGTACTGGAGTGCATGCACTTTTCATACAGTGCAGTTACCAACCACTTCCTGTGTATAAACAATGTGGTCGTGAAAGTGGTAATGATCATGTATCTAGTGTCATAGTGACTAATACTGGCTCCCCACAAGGGCGTTTTTTAATCGCTACTACTGTACATTTTATATACTAACTGCAGTACACTTAAATATTTTCCGTCAAATTTGCTGATGACAGTGCTCTGATTTCACTTCTTTATGGGTCCCATAATAATCAAGGTGATGATCTTTGAGACTTTGTTGATTGGTGTGATGAATCATATCTGGAATTGAATGTATCCAAAACTTCTTGTTATCAATTTGGAGAAAGGGTAGAGATCCCTCCAAAACTGTCATTCATGATGAGGTAGTTGAAGTTGTGTCTGAATACAACTATCTTGGAACTATTTTTGATGATAAGGTTACAAGGGACATAAACACCTGCAATTGTCAAAAAGTGCCAACAGCGTTTATATTTTTCTAACATAAGTTGAAGATGTTTGCTGTTGACCAAACCATCCTGACTCTTTTTTACAAGTCATTTATTGAGAATATGCTATCCTTTTCATTTTACTTGCTGGTATTTTAATCTAAGTGTTAAGAACAAGAACAGTTCGCAAAAGGTTACTAAAGTTGGATCTAAAATTATTATTCCTATGGCCATCAGATTTTTAAATAATAGTTAATGGTACATGGAAAAGATGTCAAATTGTATGTTTTTATGGTCCTCAATCTTTATTGCGCATGGAATAATATTTATATTCTTATATTTTTTATATTTGTATCATTATTTGTATTATTTTGTTTTTATTACTGATTAGTAAAAATCATTGATGGAAAGTCACCCATTTTAAAGCCTGTTCTAATTGCATTTGTATGAAATTAACATTTGGAATTTTGTTGAATTGTCTGAATGATATCGTCAGTAACTATTTCAATTGTATGAGCTGCCATGGCATGAAATTGCCTTAAATTATTAAAAAGTATTGAAATAAAATGATTTGAAATGAAACCAAACCAAACAAAACGAAATGACACAGAGTGATAGGAATCAGTTTTAAAATCTAGAAAGGAGAATCTTGCAACTTCCTTAGGCAGGAAAAAAGCAAGATGGAATGGTCCAGAATCAAGTCCTGCAACCCAGTATCCTAATCAATAGAATACAAGCTATTAAACAAAACACTTGTCACCAAAACTGCATCAGATTGATTAGATTTTTGAGAAAGTGTGAACATTTACAACCTCTTTTAATTTTACTTCATAAGCTGATCTCTTTTGCTTATCTTGCAAATGTGGTGTATTAATGATCATGGCAAAACATGTTCATTATTTCGAAGCTGAGAGTGTAATCATGACAATCAATCATGACAAGTTGCAGGTAGGGACAGGAGTCATCTGATGTGTGGAAGCAAATGTCATCCCAAAGAACAAGCTCCGCCTGCAGGTTGGGCTTTACATAAGTATTGACAGTCAAAACATTTCAACCATAAAGTATGAAAAAAAGATGATTAATTGACCACGGACACATGGCTTTTGACCTGATGCCAAATGGAGGTTGTCAGATGGGCCATGAGGAAGCGGAGTATTGAGGAATGGCCGGGTGAGGGCAGTGAG